TATGTATATATATATATATATATATACACACACACACACACACACATATATATATATATGAAGGAAGCTTTAATAATGGCATATCCTAGTAACGTAACTCACATTAATGATTGTTTTTGGCAAAATATAATTCAATTAGTCATTAAAATTCATTACAACATCTATCAATACAAGCTCGTGTTTTCTTTAAAAAAAAAAAGAAAAAAATGTTTCAATTACCTTACTTTCTTCCTTCCAGAATTAAATTTTGCCATTGTGATGATTCCGAGGATGATTATTAAGAGCGTTAATTCTATGATAAACTTTAAAAAACTTATACTGTGTGTAACGTGTGCACATGTTATAAAATGTTAAGGAATCCACAGTATCGATTGCAGTAATATTGCTCAATTAATAAATAAAGCTGGAGCAACTTCCAGTTCATTAAACAGATCCTATATAGCGTATCCATCTAACATCGTGTATCAAGACTTCTTTTTTTTTTAGTCCAAGTTGTACATTCATTTTTATTTACAAGGAGATAAAAAACATTACAAAAAAGAGGTCTGTTCTTTTGCAATTGAACTTGTTGCATCTCATTCAACATAGATCTTTAAAGAATGTCTTAAAGACATCTTTAGAATGTCTTAAAGACATCTTTAGAAAACATTCTAGAGAATATTCTCAGAATTCTTTAAATAAAGTATAAACACAATTTATCTTTCTTCTCTTTTTCTTCACGTTGAAGAAAAACAGAAGAAAGATAAAGATAAAGGTGCAAAAAGTTCAATTAAATTTTCAAGCAGAAGACATAGTGATTTTTTTCAGCAGAAAAAATGCTTAGTGTGATTCTTTAATATGATTAAGTTCTACATTTAGATTCAGTGAAGAACTAAAGCAAGAACTTATCATATTAAATTGAACGCTCATTGGTTCTCTTTGTCGAATGCAGCCAGTATAACAGTGGTCATTTTATCCTTAACATTGATAAACAATGAGAGTATAATAGTTGCTTTTCATTTTCACATAAATGACTGTAATCTAAAGTTATATATTTTATATTCAGATAATGATGTCATTGCTTGCTTACTCAACAAAGTTATCGCACAACAACATAGATTTATGGAGAAGGAGACTCTTACTTTTAATATTAATTAACAGGACTCATTAAAATACATTATAGATAAAAACTCAATTGAGTCTTATATGTCATAATGAAAAGTAACATGCGATGTCAATTGACATCACAAATGAAAATTATTTAAGTTTTAGTTTAAATGGAAAGCAACTACTGATTCACATAGTTTATATTGTCACCTGTCTCTTGCCAGAAAGCACTCATAAAGAACATACCTAAAATAGTAAGAAAGGCTTTTTGGAGCCTTCTTTTCCTTCCAGAAACAATGTACAATACCTCGCTGTTATGCCAGTGCAGATCACGTGTTATCTCCGTGCATGCGGTACCTATCAAAAAAAAATATTTTTGAAGTAATTTTCGGTTGAAGAGAATCCTTTTAACTCTTCCTTTAGGTTATACGGCACAGGGTCACGCGCGATGAAAAGTTAAAACGCGATGAAAGGTGACGTCCACAACAGTCCACAATTACTGCAATCGAGAGGCTGCGACGTGAAGAACACGCGGGGCGTGAATGTGCGGGCGTGCAAGCGTGAGTTTTTTTCGGGATGGCGTTCAGTTTGTGGGGGGTGGAGGATGGGAGAATAGGAAAGGGGAGGGGGGGGGAGCTAGCACAGGTCGGCACCGTTATCGTAACCGTGTCCTGCTTGAGTACGGGACGTCGGCGGGGCATTCTTACCTTGATCACGCGGTATTGCGAGGCCTGCGCGGGGCCTCAGCGGAGACTCAAGACTCTAACGAGGCTTCAAGGCAGTCGGCGTCACCCGCGATGCTGACGTTTCTCTCAAGTCACCGAGCGTGACGAGACTCGGCGGACTCGGGGACTCGTGTCCTCCACGACGGCGCTTGGCGACACGAATTCTGCAGTCTGGTCTGCCGCAAGAAACACGTCTCGGATTCCTTAAATTCTTGCTCTAGGATCACTCTAGGACACTCTAGGCCAGTTCGTGGCGCAGGTAATACCGTCGGTCCGCTACCCGGTCGTCGCGCAATTATCGCGAGAAGAACAAAGCACGAACGTCGAGATGAAGAATAGAGACTGCAGAGAACCGAAAGAAAACGCACGTCCGTTTTACGACCATAGGTTACCAATATTGCTAGATAGACATGCGAATACGCTCATTTATAAACAGATATGTCAGGAACTGACCAATCGGCTACTGAGCGGTTGTTCTCTCATTGGTATATAATCATATGACCGGTATTTATAGGTAAAGAATGGCTGTGTTTAGTACAGAAAACTAATCAGTTAGCGCTTAATGATTTTTTAATACGATTGATTCCTATACTTAGATTTAGCGAAGAACTAAAGGCAAGAATTAAGGGCAAGATCATCAGACAGCCAATGGCTTCAGCAGACTCAACAATTGAGCAAGCGCTCGTTGTTATTAGTGTATTCTTTTAAATCATCCAATCAGCATTTTAGAAGAATATATCATTTTAGAAGAATATATCTAGAAGAATATATCAGTAGCAGCGAGCGTTTATTCAAGTGTTGAATTCGCTGAACGCAACCATTGGCGGAAATCCCGTTACGTGTCTGAGATTTCGACCAATCGAATATCAGAAATAGAGCTTATTTGTAGCGTGAATGAAAATTTGTTTATTTGGCTGAACTAATGTACTTTTTGGAATTTAAAATAAAATAATGTTTATTGAAAGCGAGGAAGAGAGTTCTAGTACAGACTAGTGCAGGAACAGAAAACAGACAGAACATGAATCATGTAAATTTCAAATGAGCTTAAAACTTGATTGGCTGACAAATCCCTTTACTATTTTCAATTCACTAAACATCCATGGAAGTCGGAATGGATTAAACTGTCTAATTCTATTCTGTCCATAGGATTTTAATTGATAAGATATTTTTTAAATATTTCGTAACAAAAATAATTTTAAAATTATCTTCTTTATTTTATTTTTCAATTTAAGCATTAAATTATTGAAAAAGTGATTGTGAATTGTTGTTGTTTTATTGTGGAATATATAACTTATAATATATATTATAATATATAACTTTAAAATTAAGAAATGTATTAATTAATATATATAATTAACAATAATTCATAAAAGTTAATGATGCAATAATTTGGAATACAAACAGAGAATACAAGATTTCAAACATTGTTATATTTTCCAAGAATCTATTTATTTAAGGCAGGTTTGAGATCGATACAGCAATTCAAGATATCTCATTATGTTTCATATATTGCAGCTATATTCTAATTTGGAGATGGAAGATAACAGAATAATATTCCAAACAGGAATGTATATTTATTTTTCCATCATTTTCATTTCCATATTCTTCGATTTTACACACATATATCTTTAATGATAAAAAAAAGAAATAATTATACAATACTATCAATTATATACATATATATTGAACATTGTTCTAAAAGTTTATTATCAACTATATGTTGTCAGATGAAAAAAAGAAAGAAACTATAATATTACTCGTTATTTCTTCGTCGCGTAGAAATTACGAGGATGGAAAGACGTCTACACGATAAAACGCTAAATATAAGAACGTATATTATGTTTCAAGGATATTATATCGAACGTTTCGTCTAAGAATCTATAAAGATGGACGCCCCTCTAAAACTCATCGTTTGCGGTTCGATCGCAAGGATTAAAATAGCTCGAATGTTCTCCCAAATCTCGAGGGTTCCGTCATTGACTCTCCTTGCTCGCTCTGGTCATTTTGCATCGATAGCTGCATCAATTTATCAGCCAATGCAGGATTCGTTTGCATCAGTCGAAGTAGTCTATCCACAGACGCACTGCAATCAAGTTATTTCATGTCTAATAAAACTTCTTGCGATTTTGATAATGGTGCGTTGAAAATCAGTGATCGATTAAATCCCAACTAATTTAATCGACAATTATTTCAAATGGCAAATTTTTTAAACACAACATATTTTTTAATATCATTCATTATTGACTTTTTTTTTCAACGCATTCAACAACTAATAATTAATTTTATATTAATATAATTTCACATTAATAATTTTATATTATATTTATAAATTGTTGATTTTTTTTGATATATTACTTTAATTATCAATTGAATTAATCGCAGTTGGTCAAAATCATCCCAAATTGAATAAAAATTCTCTCAAACGTGCTCATTTCTTTTTTGTATGTATTTCCTTTATATATCCAATGAGTTTTGACGCTTCGTTAATTTATAGTGAAAATATACGAAAATTTCTAATTTTTTTCCGACGCGAGACGCTTCCAATATTTGATCTTTTTTTTATGATATCACTTGCAGAGTGAGTTAATTAATTGAAATTAATTGAAATACTTACATATGCGAGAGGTTCCTCAGAATAGATAACAGGTCTCTGTCGCGTCCACTAACATCTGATAGGATTTCCGCGGGACCGTCCCTCTTTCCAAATCCGATCGCCGTGGAGATATATTCCGGTTTGAAGCCGCGGATCTCTCTCAGCTTCGTCCGATGTTTAAAGAAATGAGGGTACTTGCTATCCTTAGTCGCGGTCGCTATGATAAAGGATCCCGTGACGAACATCAACGCGATCGCTAATGTCGTCCG